CGATTTCTCCGATCCCATCTCAACGCTCCTTGTTCCCTTCACTCGAGAACAAGACCCCGAGAACTTGAACTCCTCACGCTTGGTGGCTAACGGACCTCATTCCGCTACTTGGAGTGGGACAGTCCATCGGTTCCCTACTTGAGAACCATGCCTCAGGATTTTGGGAGTGCTGATCCTCATCCCAGCCGCTTCACACTCGGTTGCGAACCGATCCAGTGAGTGCTGAAGGTCGCAGACCGATGAAGCCATCAGAACCACATCATCTGCAAAAAGCAGTGGTGCAATCCTTAGTCCACCGAACTGCAGACCCCCTCCCCCACGACTACGCCTCGAAATCCGACCCATGTATATTACAAACAGGATTGGTGACAAAGCGCAGCCTTGACGGAGGCCAACCCTCACCTGAAATGGGATGAACAGAATGTATCCTACAAAAAAAATCTCCATGCTCATCATCTGAATGTATTTACTTTAGTTGAACTGGTGTATATACAGCAATTGTTTGGATAAGGCACTTTACAACTTTTGTTACATTTGTGTACTCCACTGATAGTGAAAAAGAGATCAAATTGTAACGGTATACAACAGATTTAGTTTGTATCTTCTCCACATGCAGTGATATCACTATTATATGTTTGACATGCCATGACAAGTGATAGTAGGATGAAAAATGAACGTGAACGAAGTGTATTGTGTATTCAATATAAGACTACTGCATTCACGAAAGTTAGTTTGAAAGTTTAAGAGGTGTTTCTGTGAGTAAAGTCAAAAGGTATCCAAACTTGCGTACCAAATTTGAAGAGAAAGTGCTGGAAATTGTTATAAATATAAAAAAAACAATAGTTATCTGTTGGTTCGCAGAAGCCCAACCCTTTTCTTATTGTAGTAATTATCTGAGCCAAAATCAAAGCAGTTCAAGTCGCTCACTCAGTGCTAGGTTGAGCATAATCTCCTGCTCTTCAAAACCCTCCCCCCGGAGAAGAGTGTCTAGCGCTCAGAGAGCTCCACCAGCTGCTCCATGGAGACTCCTCAGAGGCGCACACTCCCAGCAGCTTGGACAGCCAGATACATCCCCAGCAGAAATCGGAGCGTTGTGGAGAATATCGGCTGGCTGACGGAAAAGTCTTCAGGTGGCGCTCCAAAGGAACATCTGGAGCACCGGCTGCGGACATGGCACTCAGGATGACCGGTTCCCGGAAGATATATATTTTGGACATTGGTAAGGACATTTTTATTTGCCAAAGTGTCAATAGTAATCTATCAAACCTACTTTATCGATCACCTGTGGTCAGAAAAAACGTATATCCTGCTCTACTACGACGCACATACATCATGCAACCGGTCTGGAGTCCGGATAAAGGGGTATACACATTACCATAAATTATCTTGGAGTTTTAAACGTATGATTTCTTCTTGAAATCTAAAACAAATGCACTGCATCCAGGCAATACAAGTAAATGTTATCATTAAATTGTCGATAATACATGAGCATATTATCGTGAAGAAGTGCTGTGTTTATACAAAATGCTCAACCTTATGTAGGAATCTGGTCTAAACGCGTAAATTGGTCATTTGGAAACATCGAGACAACCAATCAACGAAAGCGCGCCCTGAACGCACCGCAGAGTCAGATCATGGTTTATTATAAGTGTCCTGTGGAAGTCACAGTTGATGATGATGTGAATTTCCTATGCAGAGGGAAGCTTCCGTCTCTTTATTTAACGCATCTGTGATCAGAGCTGCACAGAGACGCATTCACGATCACTCTGTCTGAACATGCCGGGGCTGCTGCTTGGAGATGCGTTTCCTAACTTCGAAGCGGAGACGACAATTGGAAAAATTAAACTCCATAAATTTCTCGGTGATTCGTAAGTAGGTTTCTTGAATATATGGATATTGAATAGTAGAATATACTGTTACTAGAATGCGAGAAGGGGAAGGAGCTTCCAGTTCCTGCTACTGGTTTCTGACTTCTGCTTTCTGTTATGCATTTAAACGTGTAAAGGTTGCATGCTAAAGTCAATCAGACGGATGCAAACTCCAGTAAATCTAGAGGTTGACTAAGTACTCTAAAAGAAGTAAACACCACATTGTATGAATATTAAATAACAAGTGACATCAGGACAGCAGAAACTCAGAATATATTCCTTCGCAAACTGAAAACCCATATATTTCGATTGTACCTTGGCAATGAAATTATTGCTGGGAAAAAAGACGATGCACTTTTTGAGTTAATTTAGGCCTCGAAACTGATTCACCAGCATTAACTATAATATGATCTTGCTTGAAATGAATATATATGCACTTTCCTTGTTGTTCGGAGTTTGAATCTTATTGTAAGTCGCTTCAGACAAAAGCTTCAACTAAATTATATGTAATGTAATGACAATCCTGCATTCCAAACTAGTTCTCAGACTGCACAACAACCCTTTTCAGAATAATATACAGTATATTATATTAAGTGAATTTAAAATTACGTATATATGAATGCGTTTATCATTCATGTTGTAGCTGATAAATGAGTAGATTTGTTTGGGTAGCTTATCAGTCTAACCAAGACACACAATTTCATCTTGACCTAAAATGAAACATTATTTGTTTTTGTATTTTCTATCTGAATTGTCAAAGTAACTAAAGCTGTCAGACACATGTAGTGCAGTTTCTTTATGGAACTAAACATTATTTTTGCAACATTTGCCTCTGAAATGCAGTAGAAGTAGAGAGTACCAGGAAATGGAGTTACTCAATTAAACTAAAAGTACCCGTAAATAGCACTTAGGTAGAGTACGTGACTCAATGTACTTAGTTACTGTCCAATATATAATATCAAAAGCATCAGTAAGGAGACCAGGTCAAACCTTGAGTCCCTCATTGGTGCAGTCACATTGCTGACCTCGTCAAACAAGGTTGTTAATGTCATCGTTTTTGGAACACCAGAGTCACGCAGAGGTCACTTCCTGTGTCAGGTGCATCATTCAGCTCCATCCTATTGTGCAACCAAACAATAAGCCACAACAGTGACCCCAAAATTAAAGATTTAGGTCAAAAGAGAGGAAACTGGGTCAGACAGAAACCTCAGCTTGCACAAGAATCAAAGACCCTGACTGACACCTGCCACATCCTCACGTATCTCTCTGTTTATTCCAGATGGGGGGTCCTGTTCTCCCACCCCAGAGACTACACCCCGGTGTGCACCACAGAGCTGGGGCGCGCTGCCAGACTGAGCACTGAGTTCAGTAAACGCAACGTCAAAATGATCGCCCTGTCCATTGACTGCCTGGAGGATCACCACAGCTGGAGCAAGGTGTGTCTAAACTGTGTTTAGTGCAGGTCCTAGCTACACACTGCAATACAGTCACATTCATCTGATGAAACTAGAATGATATATACCCAGATCTTAAAGGGGCCCAATTATGCTTCTTGGGGTTTGCCCTTTTCTGTAGTGTATTAAATGCGTTTTTTGTGCGTGTAAATGATCTGCAGAGGCTAAAATCCCAAAGTTCCCTCCAGAAGGAGTTTCTCTCACACGCATTTAGTCAAATTTAATATAAACTGAAAGCAGTTTAAATATATTGAGTCTAGACTGCAATAGCTTCAGATAAAACTAAGTTATGACAGTTAGGAGTTGTCAGGCAACTTAAAATAAGTAAACTGAATATCACACACAATTGTACCTCCTCTGTGTCTAGTTGTTGAAAATAGTTGTTCAAGATTATTTTATTTAAGACATCAGAGCTCCACCAGTGTAGCTACTAACAAAGGTCTATGTCTCTACAAACTAGGACATCCTGGCATACAACTGTGAGGACTCGGCCTGCCGCTCACTGCCCTTCCCCATCATAGCGGACAGTAAACGGGAGCTGGCAGTAGCTCTGGGCATGCTGGACCCAGATGAGAAGGATAAAGATGGCCTGCCGCTCACTGCACGCTGTGTAAGAATCTTCACAGTCAAATTCAGTTTTTTGTCTATTTATAGGCAGTAGGGCATGATTTGCACCATGTGATTATTGTGGCAAGAACATGGAAAATAATGTAATAATGCTGTCTGATAAATTCATCTCTTAATTTAGATTTTGTCTTATTTTGTGTCTTACCAATTACACTATTCAGTTTCAGTTTTGGCCCAACAAGGGTAAAGCTTAATGCACCCCTGATTAACACTATATTTTAAAGGTGTATTATTAACAAATCAACTTTTCATGTTTATATACAAGAGCTTTCATCAGTACTGGTATATCGTGACACTATAGGCACCATTCAAACATAATATCTACTCTCATGCATGTGGAATAATTAGTAGTGTCTCTGTTTAGGTGTTCATCATCGGCCCTGACAAAAGGCTGAAACTGTCCATACTCTACCCGGCAACAACCGGACGCAACTTTGACGAGATTTTGAGAGCAGTGGATTCTCTCCAGGCCACAGCAGGGAAACGAGTGTCCACACCTGCAGACTGGAAGGTAGGTCACACCTGTATGTTTGTGCCAATCATTTCAGCAGCTGACTACAGAGATACGATACGATATACTTTATTGTCCCCGTAAGGAAATTTGTTCTGGACTCCGTCCTGCAGTTCCGCATACGTATACATATAGAAACATAGTAGACATTAAGAGACATACACATATCATCAGTCATACACTGTTCGAACAAACACAATACACAGACGCACATACTGACAATGGCGACCTATTGCACAACCCTCATGGCCAACATTTAAAAAGTGCATTTAATTACATTTGACTACATTTCATTTCATGTGAATGTTAAGAAGCTTAATGGACATAGGTAGGAATGAGTGCTTATAGCGGTTCAGCCTGCTCTTGGTAACCCTGAATTTTCTACCAGAAGGTAGGAGCTGGAATTCTGGGTGGAGTATGTGGGTGGAATCAGACACAATTTGTTTTGCCTGCTTGATAATGGACTGCTCGTATAACATCATACTGGCCTTCAATGCTTTTCATGTGACTGGGTCAGGCCCCTTCCTACATCCAGGACATGGGTACTGGAAACATGAACACTCCATCATATTCGCTCCACTCTATATTGGCCAATTGGTTTGGTAATCATTCACTGCGAGTGGGACCCAGGTACCCCTCAACAAACAACCTCCCGATTGCTATCCTGACTCCAAAATGGTAGAACGAACTCCCCATTCATATCAGGGCAGCAGAAAGTATACACAAACTCTGTTGCAGACTGACAAAGAACACCTGATTTGACTTTGAACTGACACCTGCACGTAGCATGTGGTTTTTCATATTTAAAAGCTAACAAACTAGCAGGATCTTGCTTTTTTAAATGTGTATTTTAGTTAAATGCACTTCTTGTAAGTTGCTTTGGATAACTAAATGAAATGTAATGTGATAAAGGAAATAGATATTCACCTGTTGTCACACAGAATTACTTTTCTTTTTCATTCGTCTCCCTTCAGCCTGGAGACTGTGTGATGGTTCCCGCCAGCATGCCTGAGGAAGAGGCAGCCGCTTTGTTCCCAGCCGGTGTCTACACCAAAGACCTGCCCTCTGGCAAGAAGTACCTGCGCTACACCCCGCAGCAGTGAGCACGACGGAGACACACCCGACAGTCAACACTCATTTATGTCACAGTCAGTCCAGCAGCTCTCAATCTGTACTACATTGAGTGCTGCTAGTCTGTGTATGCGGTAGACAAAACGCCTTAAGAAATGTGTAGGATTCTTTTTTAAATAAAGTGATTTTAAAGTATGTACAACTCTGAGAATCAAAGCTGCAATGTTCAGCCTACTTTCATAATGGGGATTGTTTTTTGAAAGATGGGGGAGGCTTGAGATAGGAACATATACTTTGTTTATATTTAAAGATGTAGCAAACAGTTTATTGTACACAGCATGGCAGAGAAGCTTTTATTTTGTAGGATGATACTATCAGGGATAACATATAATTCAAATCTAGACATTGTTTATCCACTTCCTCTATTTTCTTAAGAGGAAGTGGTTAAAGGTGCTAGTTACACAAAGGATGGCTGCGAGAGTAAATGCACGCTATTGCTACTCTTTTTGAGGAGCAACTATACCTCATGAAACACAGTAAACGAATCATCAGTGTTTCAAATGTTTGAAGGGGCCCTATTATGTTTTGGGGGGTTTTCCCTTTCCTGTAATGTGTCATATGGGTTTCCGTGCATGTAAATGGTCTGCCAAGGCTAAAACCCAAATTCTCTCTCCTAAAATGTTCCTTTACATAAATGTTGCATTGGTTTTTCTTGGTCGAATTGTACATTTCACAGAACGTTTTTATTATATTTTTACTGTATCTACTTGTAATGATTGGATTTTGTCCCTGTGTCGGACAATCAAAGCTTCATTTTTAGCCTTACACAATAAATTAGCCTTAACATGACATTTCTAAAAGTACCGTACAGAGGTGTATTAGCTTTTCCCAGCAGTGCCTCCCTGTCCTTTCTCCACCTTGATGTGGTTCTGTTTAAAGGCTCCTCACCGTATCGACAGCATCTCCGTGACCAGCAGACAGTAGGACAGCGGAGGTATTACAAACAGGAAATGGAGAAAGGACAAGCTGTTTAAAAATAAATGTCACCAATGAGTTTGTGCACACTGAATTATATATCATAAAATACATAGTTTGAAGTGACAGTGAACAATGTCATTTAAATGATTTATTAGGAATACATGTCAAGGTACTGGATGGTGTTGGTCTTTGGACGGAGCTGAGGGGCCACTCATGGTGATGTCACCACATTTACCCCCCCCCCTCCTCTTCATGAAAAGATACAACAGCTCTTCTCCACGGGAGGATTTCTGTGATGTCATCTGTTAAGACTTAACGAACAAACCCCCTGACAGAAATGTAGCCTCAGGTAGCTGTTTGTCGTCGTCGTCATCATCAATATCAGACAGAAAGCACCAAGGTTAACACTTGTGATCTCGTTTCCAGTCATTCGTCATCACGATTACGTCAGAGTGTCCCAGCAGCCGAGTCATCTCTGGCTCATGAGGCCCTGGTACTCCCTCTGGTGGGCGAACAGTCGCAGGAACACTTTGTTCTTTCTCTCATAGAAGCTAAAAAACAGAAAGAAATGACACATACGTGATGTATTTATAATGAATTACATTACTTTACTTGAACAAAATACATTTGAAGAATAGCCTCCTATATGCACTTTATCTTATAGGACAATTATATCAGATCAGACAATAGAGTGAACACTATGTTGGCACACATACAAAGGCTGGCTGTTAAATAATACCAAAATGAACACACAGTATAAAATGTTTATCATGGGTTGGACAGGTGTGACTGTGCTGGTTCAATATTACAGACGTTTTGGTCACAATCTTTTTATATATACGGTTGACTTTGCATATTTAATAGCAAAGCAAATAGTTTTTCCTGTAGAAATAAAGAAAAGCATATATAAAAAAGCTTTAGAACATCCCAAATGTGTACGTTAAAGGGGCCCTATTATGCTAATTCAGGTTCATATTTGTATTTAGTGTCTCTACTGTGACATGTCTCCATGCTTTAACGTTCAAAAAGCTCTTTATTCTTCTCATACTGCCTGTGCTGCAGCACCTCTTTTCACCCTCTGTCTGAAACCAGAGTCCTGTCTGCTCTGATTGGTTAGCTGAACGCCTCTGTTGTGATTGGTCGACCACTTAGAGATGTCCCGCCCCTCACGTTCAATGAGATGGAGCGCTAGCCAATAGAAGTGCGAGTGCTCAATAGTGATGTCACTGTGTTATGGAAGTAAACAAATGACTACAATTTAGGCGTTTCAGGCAGGCATTTGGCACAAGACCGTTCTAAAAGATGTCCCGTTTTACTATGACATTTCGTATTAATCATATAATTTTAAGATTTTTTCGGAATTTGTGTTTAGCACTCGCTTTACACCAATCGTTGAAGCGCAACCTTCTTTACTAAAACATAAAATATATCCATTTCTAAAAAGCAAACATTTATAAGAGATTAAATGAAAAGGCAGAGGAAAAAGGTAGGAATTAATCAGAGAAAAGCTAATAAAAGTTGTTGAGGAGGCCAATATTTGTGTTTTATAAAAAAAACAAATTGGTTAAAATGGTTGATTATGCATTACATTTTATTGAATATTTCCGTTAGAATCTCACAGACCATTACAGCAACCATGACTTTCACCAAAAGAAATCTCTTTGTCTTACCTCCGGAGCTCGCCGTCAGGCAGAACAACTTTCCCCACTTTAGCCATCCTCTCCATCGCCTCCTAAAACATAAATTGCAAAGACAAATATCGCTCAATAAATCATGAAAGGCACATTTGGGTTTGGGGCCTGGCGTGACCCAGTTTTAGTTTTGACACGAGCCAACTGCAGTCGTTTGTGTGTGGCTGAGTTTATGACTAATGCAGGGCCGGGCCTCTCTGCCTTCAAACATACAACACAGATTGTGTAGAGTGCAGCTCAGAGGATCACACACAAAGTTATGGCTGGAAAAGGGCTGACAAGGTGCAACAATAACATCTTTTTTTTTATCTGGCTTAAAAAGCATTCCATTGTGCTCCAAAATCTGGTACTGAAAAACCAAAGGATGATCACATGACCTAGCAAAAGATTCAATAATCACTTTTTATCTTAAACACATTTTACACTTAAAGAAATGGCAGTGTCACTTCAGAAAAAAAATCCTATTTAGAAATACTTTATTTATCCGGGGGGAGGGGGGGATATTAGGTTTGCTGACAGTTTTTCCATTTGAGACTAAATAAATTAAAAGCGAAATAAAATGAAAAATGTATACAAGCATTTGTAGTAGGAATATGCTATAAAAAGATGAAATACATTAAAGTAAAATATAATCACTTTTTTAATAAACATAAAGATTTGAAAAAGTGAAAGATGTTCAATAAAAGATAAAAAAAAAATATATATATAAACATAATAAATAAGATTAAAAAATAGAATAGAATGCAATAGAAGAAGTTAAAATAAAATGAATTATAATAAAATATTGTATAAACATACATTAAAAGGAAACATTTCCAATAAAAGAAAAACATTAATAAAAATGTTTGCATCCTATAAACATTACTGAATGAGTTAAAGGTGGGGTAGGTAATTCACTTCAGAAACACTTTTTGTTATATTCCATGGAATGCTCTTAACATCCCGATAGCAATGAATATATTAAATGCTTTGACAATAAATAAATGAAAACATTTCATCTGTGGCGCTGTAAAAAGCACGACCAATCATCTGAGCCGGCCCGGCTAAAATAACTGGAAGGCCTACCTGCCTGTCAGCCTTTCATCTGTGCACAAACTTACTCGTGCCCTCATTGGTCATGTGCGCGTTCGTGTGTGTTGGAGGAGGGGCTCTGTAAGGAAGTCTGAAGGAAGAGGCAGATCTTTTCCGGTTGTACATTCAAATTCTAGCGCACTC